TGAGGTTCCAAGAGATTAATTTAACTGATTAAGGGTAAAACAGCTAATAAGTATCAGAGCCCGGATATAAACTCAAATCTATCTGAACCCATTGTCTGTGCTCTTTGCAGTGTGATATGCTGCTGCCTCTGTGGGCTATTGATTTTGGCCACAGCCAGGATAAAGTTTCACTGAAATATCCAGGAGGAAGGCTAAAGAAGTAGCAAAATTTCCTACAATTTTAAAATGTAACTCAGATATATACATATATATATATATAAATGTGTGTGTGTGTTTTAAGCTACAATTACTGCTTATGATAACCTACGAAATACTTTGTTGTTAAAAATCACTTCCTTTTTATGTCCTATCACGTACCCCCCAGGACAACTGGTCGGCACACCAAGACAAAAAAGGGTTGATGAATTGAGAAAAAGAGTCAAAATAATAAACGAGTCTGTTTTGTTGTTTCATGGCATTGCTGGAATGCAATTAACTTCTTTATGACTGGAGGCCTGAGATGTTGCATCATATCCCATTTATCTGTGTGGAGTTCAACGTGATGAAAAATAAACAAGTAATTTATTCTGAGTGTGTGAACATCTGAGTTCATAAAAGAGTTCAAAGCAAGAAATTCATGTAAAGGTATCTCATTTACTGCTGATAGGACAGCAAAATAGTATAAACCTTATGGAAGCAATTTAGAAGTATGTATCAAGAGTCTTTAAAATGTTCATGTGCTTTGTTCCATTCAAATTTATTCAAAGAAAGCAAAATGAAATATGTATAACAGTTTATGCATACAGATGTTCACGCATTGTTATTTATAACGATAGATAATGGAAAATAATCTTGATTACTAAGAGCAAGGAAACTATCCAATAGATATTGTACAGTCATTTTTATAAAGTTTTGAAGTTGTTAGTGATAATATTTTGTTTTTTAAGAAAAAAATCAAAATATAAAAATATATTTATACAGTAAAAAGTTAATTATGCTTCAAAAAATAAATAAGTCTAGAAGTAAATATGGCAAAAAGCTAACAGCATTTGCTTCTAGGCAGTAAGATTATGAGTCTGTTGATTTTTAATTTTTTTTTCTTTTTCTGCATTTAACAATTATCTATATTTTCCAACATTCCTACATTGAGCATTTACTACTTTTATAATCAGACTGGGGAAAAAGAAATTCAAAGAGAAAAAAAGAATATTAAAGGAAAGGGAACAGAGTTTAAATAGTCCAGGCATACCATTTGATTTCGTCTTATTGGCTGAAGCTTTTTCATGAGTATTTAAATAGGAAGATTTGCTTTCACATCACACGGGTGCTCTGCTCCATCAATAATAAATTTCCACATAAGAATATTTAATACCAGTTTTTCAGAGAGAAAATTACTTTTCCATAGAGGTACCAGGACATTCAGTTTTCATAGACTCTTGCAAATGCACTATTTAGAAACTACATTTGGGGGTGAATGTATCAGTCCTGGGACACAGCACCTTACATTCCAAGCTTTTATCACTTCCTAAAAACATCAAGTAAAATAATCCAAAAGCTAGGACCAGTTTATACAGTATACTTGATGCTGCAATTTTTAACATTCATTTACTAGAGTCAGCCTGTGATGACTAATACTTCTTTTGCCCACTAGTACCAAGCCCTAAATAAGGTTCCTGACTAGATTACATTCATGCAGGTCTCATTTTAACGGAAATTGGAGAGATGAAAAAAGATTATAGGAAGAGACATTATAAAAACAGACCTCATAAGTCAAACTTAATCGTAAAACCATTCTCTTTCATGTAGACAACCATGAAAAACAAATATCCTGTGAGCTAGAGATATATATTGTATCTTTCCAACAGATCTTTATGCCTTCTTGAGACAGATTTCCATGACTATATAATGTGATTACAGTTGATGAAGCAATGGCCCACAGAAAGAGACTGATAAAGCATCAGGCTCCAGGAAACCAAATAAACATGTTCATGATTTCTAATTGTAACAAGGGTAGGATAACACTGGATATGAAGACAGAACCTAGAGAGACAGAGCAAATATTGGTTCCTCTAACTTCAAAAATAAGCATCCATGAAACAGAGCCAGCTCTCTTATTAGAAAAACTCCTTGGAACACATTCATGTTAGCTGCTTATTTAATTGATAGATAAGACTACAAAGGAGGTTGTGTAAGTTTAACACGTAGTATGAAAGTTACAACGCTCATGGCAGAGGTATTTTAAACAACCAAAAGAACATCCCTGTAAGCAAACTAATAGAGCCAAAGAGTAAGAAATTTTAAAATGTTCAAGCAACATGTCCAAAGGACTATCTCTGGTAATGTAACTGAAGGAACAAAGTTTCTGTAACTCTCTAGTCAGTTCACCTCCCTCTTCCCAAACATAGGGGCTGTGTGAGGATAATCTTTATATAAAGACTAAAGTGAGAAAAAAACAGGGCTAGGAATTTAATGTGGCTCAAAATTAAAGAAACACTATAATTGCAGCGCTTCTGCTAAGTGTCTGTTTAGCAGAGGTCATAATGGGGATAAATGATCCTGTTATTTGAAAAGTAACAAAAGTAAAAGTTCCCATTTCTTAGGAATCAGTGTGTTCCTGTATGCAGTAGGATGCATGTGCATATGCCGTGCATAAAGAAGGAAAGAGTAATTCCTTTTGTGAACTGAGAAATCCTGGCAGATTACATTGCTTTAAAAAAAATATTTTCCTTCCTTCATATTAACTGACTATAGAGCCTCAGTATTATTTTGTTTGTTTTTCAGAGGTGTGTTTATTTGCCAATTGTAAGTTACTGACATGAGACAGGAACACTAACAGAAGAATGAGAGGGTGTAAAGTTTACCTCAGTGGCAGAGAGATCTACATAGGGGGCCCAAAGGTGGAATGCCAAGACTCAGTACTACATGTGGCTAAAGCCTCCTGCTGTGAGTTATAGTCTCTAGACTGAGTAACAAGGACTTTGGAAAACATACTTTGAAGATTATTGATTGCCTTGGTGAAATAAGAAGGACAATCCCAGGGTCTGGTTAATTCCTGTAGGTAAAGTATGGCTTTGGGGAGGGGGGGCGGGAAAGAAGGTATGGTTATTCTTACTATGAAGAAATAAAAAAAGAACTTGTTCATGGAGGAGTAGGTAAGACCAAGAAGCAAGGCAAGGAATAGAGCTTGAGGGGCTTTCTGAGTACGGTTTAGCTTTTTTCCCCTAGTCCTAAAATTCTTAGATCAGTCATATTTAGCTAATAATTTTCAGGCTCTCCCCTATATTTAATTCCTTCCAGTTAGCCTCTAAACATCAGTAAACATTACATACACCTACAACATCCATGGAAGCAGTAGCCAAGAAATTCAGTGAAGTATTACATTGAGAAAATCTTCTGCAAAAGACCTCTTTAAGGTTTTAAAAAGCAAAAATGTAACTTCATGATTAAGTTGCACCTGACCCGAGCCATGGTCTTTTCAATCACCTCATATACATGCCAAAGTTGGACAAGGAAAACAAAGAGAGAAGAAGAACTGATGCACTCGAACTGTGGTGTTGGCAAAGAATATTGACTATACTGTTGACTACCAGAACAACAAACAAATCAGTCTTAGAAGAAATACATCCAGAATGCTCCTTAGAAGTAACAATGGTGAGACTCAGTCTTGCTTACTTTGGAAACATCATCAGGAAAAACCAATCTCTAGAAAAGGACATCATGGTTGGTAAAGTAAAGGGTCAGCTAAAGCAAGGGAACCCCCAAAGAGATGGACTGACACAACAGCCATAGCAATGGGCTCAAATACATCAACAATTATGAAAATGGCACAGAACTGGGCAACATTTTTAGCTGTTATACATAAGGTCACCATGAGTTGGAGGTGACCCAATGGTAATTAACAGCAACAAGGCCCTGCGTTAGTGGTGTTACAGAGAATTGGTAGTGACGTGAAGTGGCTATTCCTGCATCCCTCTTCTGCTGAGGCCAGTGTGCCAGGAACAACATTGTGTCCAGGAAGACTCAGAACCCTTACATTCCAGACACTGACAACTGCCTAGCATATGACTCAAGTTGAATCTGAAAAGAAATGGAAAGTAGCAAGCACTAGGTGAAAGAGACTGACCCTATAGGGAAAGCGAAACAAACACCCTCCTTTCTCCCAAATATACTAGAAAAGGATGATCCTGAAGGAGAAGGTAGATGTAGAGTTACAAGGGTATGTTTTCACATGCTTAAAAGAATCACAATATCACTATGTGTACAGTCTATGCAGCATCCTAAATGATCAGCTGTCTCAATAAAATGGAATGATATTTTCTTTCTTAGGACTAACATTTATTATTAATGATTATTCAAAGTATATATATTTATCTCTCTATTTTCACCAATGCTCTCTCTCGTTCAAAACAGGATTATAAAATATACACTGCTAAAAATGTAACTGAGGAAATCACAGTTAAAAGCGGATTAATAAGATCAAAATAAAAGTTGGTCCACAAAAACACAGCAAAAAAAAGTTTTTTCAGATCACTGGAGAGGGCTCTAAAATTGCCTCTGAGCTTCCCAGCAGCCAAGCAAGGGGAAAATAAGACCAGTTATAAAAATTATATTGTTTTTTAAGATACAAACGCCTTGTTGGACAGGAGAAGAAAATCTTTTTCTGAAACTGAAGCCTTAGTGAAATGTCTATCACAGGTCTTTATAAAAAGAAATAATATAAAGAACAGCATCCTTATAATAAGCATAATAGCAAGTCACATCCTTCTAGAAGTTTCTTGTAGTGTCTCAACGAAAGCCAAGTACATCATGCTAATGCTTTAATTCATAAAGAAAAGTTTTGTTCTCAGATAATCTATCTGTATCATTTAATAACCATCAGCATGACAAAAGTCAGCAAATTTTACCTAATTCTCTACAACTCTTGAAACAAAACTGTAACATTAGACATATAAGAATATATTCCAGATACAGTGTCATTATTTTGATATTCCTAAAAGAAAACAAAATCATTTTATTCTTACCAAAACCACACTGAAGGTATTCACTATTTCTCTCACCTGTGATTCTTTCACGTTTTCAACAGTAAAGTTGAACCAGACTCGGAAGCGTGGATTACAGGTATCAGGCCTAATAAACAGATCGTACTCAAACTCAGAGACCTGGTCCACCCGGCCAAGGTTACCTAATAATAAAAATTAAGAGAATTGAGTTTTAATAGAAGTTTATGCAGATCAATGGTACATACACCTAAATAATATGAATTCTAACTGTAACATCTGTCATTATTTGGTACATGTACATACACTCACAATGTATCCTCAACTTCTAAATACCTCATGCAAGATACAAAATACTCAGGATGTCCAGATGGTCCAACAAAAGGCCTTCCATCTTAGGTGTGGATCACCAAAGACTGAGATAAGCTGGTTTTCCTTTCTCTTTTAAACAAAAATTGATCAAAATAGAATAGTAAGCATACATACTAAATAGCGAAGTATAGAAATAATCTTAAAGACAGCTAAATGGAGTAAATTAAAAACTGAGTATGGAATTTAAAGTTCTTGCTTTGCCAGCTACTGATGATAGGATATTGGAGGAAGGGAAGTATCATTTACTGAGGACATAGTATGTGCCAGTCACTGTGCTAGATATTTTATAAAAAGTATATTATTTAAATCTAGCGGCCACCCTATGAAGGTTATAATAGAGAATAGACTGCCTAGGTGAAACATAAGGAATTCTGGTGGTGAAATGGTTAAAGTGCTCAGCTGCTAACTGAAAGGTTGGTGATTCGAACCCACCAGCTGCTTCATGGGAGAAAAGACCTGGCGATCTGCTCCCATAAGGAATTACAGCCTAGGAAACCCTATAGGGGCAATTCTACTCTGTCCTATCGGTGTGCTAGGAGTCAGAATTGACTGGATGGGACACAATAACAACAACAGGTAAAAAACATAGGTAACACAGTCTCTTTGGAATCTTCCCCAAATTCTCCTATTCTAGCTAAGAAGTCAAGCTATACACCGAAGGATAGTTCTTCTATTAAATGAGTGAAGAGATCTAAAACTGACTAAGCACCTAACCTGTACCAGGAACCGAACTAGGGGCCTTACATATTGCAGTGGGCATCTCTGCCTTGATAAAAACGCACAAAGAGTCTGATGAACTCCAAACCAGATAACCAACAGCTAAAGAGTCAAGATGATTACAGACAACAATGAAGCAATTGATTGAGAAGTTGGTATTGTACTGGTCTTAAATAGCACAGCAACATCCTGCTTTAAAATGAGCTCTGGTGTGTTTTCTTCCAAAAGAATACCCAAAATTAATATTTAACCTTATATGTACCAAAGTTTTAAATAACTTCTTATACTAGTTCTATTGGCATGTCAGCCGTTTTTCTGGGCATCAGTAGTGTAAACCAGAGTGCTAGCCTGGGAATCAAACTCGTTGCTGTCGAGTTGATTCCAACTCATAGTGACCCTACAGAACAGAGAAGAACTGCCCCATAGGGCTTCCCAGAAGCAGCTAATGAATTCAACTGCCGACCTTTTGGTTAGCAGCCGAGCTCTTAACTACTGCGAATCAGTAGATCTGAACTCTAGTTCAACTGACTGACTATGTCACAATAGGTAAGTTATTTACCCTCTCAGGGCCACGTATGCAAAATGAGAACATTGAATTAAGAATCTCTAAATTGCTTTTAGCTGTAGCATTCTTTGACTGCCTGATTTTAAGATGATCAGGCAGTTATCCAATATAATAAGATCATCCTCCAAACCATATCAATTAATCTTAGGTTCCTTTTATCTGCTCTTATTAAAATTTGACCTGAGAAAAAAGATTTATTCCTCTTTACAGAACAAGAACAATTGGTTACCTCCACTTTAGTAACACATACTTGAAACACACACACACATTTATATAAATGTACAAACATTAACTAATTAGGACCAAAGACTTTTATCTTAATGTTTCAGGTTTCAAATGTCTTCAGAAATTCCCAAAAGGATTGTTCAATTAAACGGTCCTTTGAACTATTGTAATTCAAGTGTTTACTAAGCCCTATGTTGTAGAGGACAAAACCCTCACTGCACAATGGCACTGAACTTGGAGTCAGAAGCTCTACAGTCAAGTTTTAGCTCCACCACTTACTGAGTAACTTGGAAAATTTATTTAACCTCTTAAAGACTCTATCTGCTCAGCTATAAAGTAAGGGTCATTTTAATAGTTAACATTTTCAGACTATTTCTACATGCCACATATTGTCCTAAATACTAAGTGTACTAACCTATATAATTCTCACAATAATCCCTATAAAGTAAGTTCCATTACCATACCCATTTTACGTAGAAGAAAATCAAGGCACAAATAACTTGTCCAAAGCTAAATTCCAGAGTTGGGATTTGAATTCAAGCAATATAGCTCTAACCACTAGATTATATCACTTCTCTACCTAACAGAGCTGGGAGGAAGAATAAAACATATATTGAAAATGCTGTATAAGTTATAATACTCAACAAAATTACTATGCTTAAAACAACAAAAAAGAAAACAGTATTGTTTTGCCATCTAAAAGTCCATGGTCTAAAAATTTAATATTAATGTGTACTTCAACATTCAAAGGACAGCAGATTTTTGTTTAATTCTGGACTAGTATAAATGAATTTTTATTAATAAAAACATATTAAATTGCTGCTCCACATTGTACCTGATAATAATGTACCATATATGTCTAACAATTCGCAGTTTCAAAATGACTTGACATAATTTATATAATTAAAACCTCACCATGACCCCATGATGAGTGTTATGAGACTCAGAAATGTTTAACTGGTGCCATCAAGTTAATTCTGACTCATAGCAGCCCCACGTGTGTCAGGGTAGAACTGTGCTCCATAGGGTTTTCAACAGCTGATTTTTCACAAGTAGATTGCCAGGCCTTTCTTCTGAGGCACACCTTGGTAGACTTCAACCATCTGGTTAGCAGCCAAGTGCATTAACCATTTGCACCCTTAGTACTTGCTTATAACAGGAAAGCACTAACTAAAAGAAAGCTAATGGAGCTATATTTATATCAGACAAGAAGGAGTTTAAGTCAAGAAGCATTACTAGAAATGAAAGGGGGCATTTCATGATGATAAAAGAGTAATTCTACCAAGAATATATAAAATCTTAAAAGTATATAAACCTAACAATAAACCCAAACTAAACAAAACCAAACCCACTGCCATCAAGTTGATTCCAACTCATAGTGGCCCTATAGGATAGAGTAGAACTGTCCCATAGGGTTTCCAAGGAGCATCTGGTGGATTCAAACTACCAACCTTTTGGTCGGCAGCCAAGTTCTTAACCACTTCACCACCAGGGCTCCAAACCTAACAATAGAGCTTCAAAATACATAAAGGAAATTTTGACAAAATAAACAGCGAAAATGAATTAATCTAGAATTATAGTGAGATATTTTAATATAGCAATACAAATAACCGAGAAAATGCAAATAAAAAATTCAGAAAAGATTGAGATGATCTGAAAAACAAAATTAAAAGGTATACCTACATCTCATTATGGAACACTTAATATTTACAAAAGTACAGAATATACATCCTTTCAAGTGCACATGGCACATTTATGAGAATTGATTATATACTGACCCATAAAACAAGTCTCAACAAATTTCAAGGAATTGATATCATACTTTGTATATTCTCTTATCACACTAATAATATTTTAAACTAAATTATAATTAATATGTGACAACTAAAAGTTGTGGGATGCAACTAAACCATTCTTACGTGGAAATTCATAGTGATGGATAGGTAGGTAGGTAGGTATATGATAAGAAGGAAGGAAGGAAGGAGGGAAGGAGGGAAGGGGAAGGTCAAGGCGAAAGGAATAGAAGGGAAGGGAGGGGAGGGGAGGGAGGAAGGAAGGAAGAAAGAAAGAAAATAAAACAACCAAAATAAGTGATTTAAGATTCTACCTCAGTAGCTGAAAGAGAACTGTACTTTCAAAACAAACAATAAAAAAAGTAGAAAGAAGGAAATAATTTTAAAAAGTTTAATGTACTATATAGAATATTTAAAATGTGAAAAGTTGAGACTTTGAAAGAGTATAAATATTAATAAACTCCAGCAAAACTAAAGAGAAAACTCACATTATTAATATCAAGAATTAAGAGAGAATAACACTATATACCCTATATACATTAAACAACCAAAAAAAAAAAATCAAATCAAAGCATGTAGTAAACCATTTATGCCAATACATTTGAAAAAGAGATGAAATCAATAATTTACAATAAAAACACATTTACTAAAATTGATACAGGAAGACATAGAAAATGTGAATTTTTCAATAACCATTAAATGGATCATATCCTTTATTTAAAACTTTTTCACATAGAAAACTCCAGTCCCAGGTGACTTCACATGTAAACACTTAAAATCTTATAACAAAGATATGTAAGATATAAAAAAGATCGATTTTAAACAAAAACTTATACAGGAAAAAAGGAAATGCTATCCAATTCATTTTATGAAGCCAGCATAACAGTGATATTAAAATATGGCAAGGAAATTACACGGAAGGAAACATATAGGTCAATGTTTCACATAAACTTAGATGAAAATGTTAACCAAAATATATATAAAATACATAATATATATAAATACCTACATCTTAAAAGCTGGGATTATTGAAACAATGCAAAGTTGGTTTAACATTTAAAAAATCAATCAATTAACCACATTGACAAAATAAAGAACAAATACACGATCATCTCAATAATTGCAGAAAAACTATCTGATCCAAAAAGTGACTATCACTACTTCTAGTTCAGCCATGTTAGAGAAACTGTTAAGAGACTAGCTACTCTGTAGAGAATTATAACACTGAATAAAATCTACAAAAAAAAATGAAATAAAGAAAAGCTTTCAGGTGTTAGACAACAGGTATCGTACGACAGCAATCCCTGAGAGAAGAGAGATCCACAAGATGACCTCTCACAACAGCACTGACACTCTATCAGAGAAAAATTTCCTAACAATGGTGCAGGAAACCAGAGCCCAACCAGACTACAGAGGTTCGGTGAGTTTACAATACAGAAACAAAATTTTGAGGTTTTTGTAGGAACGGAAATCTAAACATTAGGGCACGAGAGAGGAGCGAGCTGTGCACCGT